CCCCAAAACCCCAAAACCCCAAAACCCCAAAACCCCTCTCATTATATTCATATAGAACTTTTGTTAAAATATGGTGCAGGTTGAACTCTTGCCTTTCTTCTTATTTTTAGACTTCTTCTCTTTCTTCGTTACTCTAGGAGTCTTAGCTTTCTTCTTAACAATAGTTTTCTCGCTGCTATTTACGATCTAATTTCTCAATCTTTATGTTCTAGAGCCAAGCAAGGTTAGGTACTAAAGTTGCCTTCGAAAGTATTTTTAGTGCGCATAAACTATCCATCAAGTTTTAGACATGTACTCAATGAGAAGAGAGAGATTAAAGCCAGATATCACCTCTTGAAGTCTTAAAATGCCAATGTTTTGATAATAGGATATGGTATCTTTTGATAGAAACTTACATTTAACTTGAACTCATTTGGCTTGACCTCCTTAGTTTCTTCTTGAGTCTCAAAATTTGGCGAAAGTGCTGGGGCTAGGTAATTAGCTCTAGCAGTTTGAGCAGGCTCAGTGACTTTCGACTTCGTTTTCTTATTTATTCTTAGACTTTGATCGTGATCTTGGCCTGCTTGATCTGTTATCCGAAATCTATGGGGTAATACAGCATATTACTTTTTCTTCCTCATGATCTTTCTTAAGATCCTTCATGCGATCTTTAAGGGATTTAATATTCAAGATTTTCTCAATTCTGTTGGTATCCTCTGAATGATATTCAAAGACTAAAGCTTTAAAATCCTTTCCTTTTTTGTTAAATTTATTAACAAGTGCCTTTTCGTCATCAGTAGAGTTCCGCTTGATGATTTCAACCTCTATATAAGTATCAAGGGACTTTCTTTCGTCCTTGTTGAGATATCTTTCCAGCTTAGAATACAGCTGATCTTTGTTCTTCTTAATCTCCTCTAAAGTTTCTTTCTCAGTCTCAATTGTCTCTCTGAGTTTCTGGAGTCGATCACCAGTGCCTTGGTTTCTGTCTTCGGCATTTTTCTTGATTTCTTCATCAGAAATTTCAAGCCAGGGATCGAAAATATGAGCTTTGTCAAGAGTTCCTCCATCTCTAAGATCTGAATACCACTCAGCCATGAGCTCTAGCCTCTGCTTAAACTTCTCGTAGCTCCAGAGGAACAGAAATTTCTCTGTCTTTTTATGTTTGCACACATAAGCAAACTCAGGGATATCCTGCTCATAAGCTGTGATGTCAATCATTATTTTGATTTTGAAATACAAATTGTTCTTTTCAAGGGGAAAAGCCATATATCTAGCCTTGGAGTACTCATTGATCTCATCTAGCTCATCTAAGGCTTGTTGCAGAGCACGGATAAATCTCATTGCCTTATTTCTGACCGATTCTTTCATTTAACTCTCTGAGATACCCTCGCATACTTATGGCTTCTGGGGTATCGTTGGAGATTCGATCTTGAAGGATTGCGTCATATCCACTGAGTCTTTGGGGGTCTCCTCTGTTCTGGTCATTTCCCATAATAACTTTGAAAGCATTTCCATGCCCGAAAATAATTCTATCTAAGTGCTATAAAAGATATTTACCATGGAACTTACATTGAGTTCTGTCTTTTGGTAAATTTGCTCTCCGTTGATGACAACTCTGTAACTTTCAGGATCGAGCGGGGTTACGAATAGTTGTTTCCCTTCATAGTTGTTAAGAGCAGCATGGTTTTCACCAACACCAAGCCCTTTAATGACAAATTTATTCTTGATATCAGTTCCAAGCTTGTTCTCCCCTTTTTGCATGACGTACACCAAGCAATTTGAGATAGAAGGGTCATCTGATATATTGACAAGAGAGATAGCATCTTCATCAGCGTTTAGCTGACCTCCTGCTGAGGAGGATATACCAGCCTCTTGGAGAGCGTTAAGTCTGATCTTATCAAAGTTCTCTCTATCATTTAGCAAATCTCCTTTACTCTTGTTCATGCTCATAAGCTTTTTCATGATATCCTTCATTGCTTCCTCAGATTCAACAATTTTGTCCTCAACTGCATCTGTGGTTTCTGTTGGAGCTTCGGAGGTTAGATCATTTTCAACTTCATTGATAGCAGCCTTTTCTCCAGTTTTAAGCTTTTCGATGTACGCTTTGAGTTCAGCAATTTCATTTTTCAGTTTCTGCATCGTGGCTGCTTCTTCATCTACATTGGCAGAAGTTTTTGTAGAGATCACGCTTACATTCTGAGCAAACCTAAGAGTTGATAATGTCTCATCATAATTTAAAGCAGCTGGTGACAAGGCAGCAATCATTATAGTCTTAGAATTACCTCCTAAAGATTCTGAGAGGAGATGTGTCAGCTGGGAATTTCTGTATGGGATGAAATTCTTGGATCCCTTACAATTCTCACCTAATTTTTGGATCACCACTCCGAGATAGGTCAAACTTTTGTTGATGTTGCTCCCTTCTTTGAGTCTTTGGCCGGTAGCTCCTGTGCTAGCTTGTCGTTCTGATCCAGCAAGATCCACAATGTTAATTTTTGATCTGATAATTTGTTTCTTTCCATCCTTCATTGATTTCTCCATGTAATGAAGAGTGAAGACTGCATGTGATCGAGAAGAGGTCTTATTCATATTGGTTGAGGCCACGATTCTTAGTTTCTTACCATCAGCCAGAAGACTGACTATATCTTCGTAACTGTCACTGTAAGCTGTACTTAAGTTCCTAACGCTGACTCCTGTCTTCTTGGTTACGAATACTTTGAGCTGTTTCTCAGTTGGGTCAAGGAGATCTTTGAGCTTTTCGTTGTAAATCTCAAGGTAGGAAACATTGACAGTGACAGAATTGTTTTCGTCTTGGCTTTCTAGCTGGCTTTTTCTTTCAAAAATAGCCTCTCATATTCTCTGAAGAAGCCCAGAGTCTGGAGGATATCCTTCAATAGAGTAACTTTTCCCACTACCTGTCTGTCCATATGCGAATATAGATGCATTATATCCAGCGTATACATTTTCGAGGAGCTCTTTACCAAGAGATTCAAAGACATGTTCATTTGTTTCAAGTGTCCTACCGGCTGAATCATGCGACCAGATGCATTTATCAAAGTGAAAGTTCTTAATTCCTCCTGATTTTGGATCTTTTATCGAGCATTTGCCTCCATCCATAAAAATAATATTATCTTCTCCCTGTTCTCTGTCATTAAAAGGTCTGACTCTGACTGCTATTTGGATTTTGTCAGTCATTTAAATCAATTTTTATATTACAAAAAGGGGTTTTGGGGTTTTGGGGTTTTGGGG